GCAGGGCTGTTACGGCACCACTCACATCACACGGTGGACACGAGACACGGGCAGAAGGGCCCAGGGCTGCACGGAAAATTAAAGATAATCTCAGACCTGAGGTGGGGTGCGGGGATGTTATAAGAAGTCATAATACTCAATACAGGCAACCACCAGGAGTTTACAAGAACTTCCATTCTTTTAATTAAACATTTTATGAGTCTCGGAACACATTCCTGTACCCTATTATAGACGAGAGTATTTGAAAAATCAGAGCCTTTTCACATTACCATAAAGAGATAGGAAAACCAAAGAAGTCTTCTACAGAAGAAAGAACTATTTATACACTAACTGCACAGTTTTTAATATAATTATAGAGACTTATTTTGCATTAGTAGAATTTTTCCCTCTTTCGTTTTTTTTGGAGGGAACAGGTTTCAATACATCCTAATATAAACTCCCTGACTCCTAAATTCATCGCTGCATTTATAATTTAACATGTTTGGAACAAATATTAAAATTCTAAGAAATTCAAGATAAACTGTCTATGCCAGAATAAATAAGACCATTTATATTACACTCTTAAAAACACAATCATCAGCATTCAGTTATAAGTGAATTATTATTGAAAAAGAGAGTGTAAAGAAACTATGAAGAGAGTAAATCAGTGCCACTGATAATGAAACAGGATGAGGAAATTTTGTGAACTGCTTTAAGACCAAGCTATCCAAACAGCAAGTTTCTAGAGGAGCTTTCTGAAAAATGGTATATGAACTTCATTTAAGAAACAAATTACCTAATGAATTGCACATAGCCATTTATTTGCTAAGGACTTAATGCATTTACCTTTGCTSTCTAGGGCAGAGCAGGGTGCTCCTGATGCACGTTGCACGAGCCGCTGCAGCCTCCATCTTTTCCGATGGTTAAGGCTCAGAACCGGAGGCCCAAGTCAGGAGGCTCTGGATCAAGGCCACGGACCGGTCACCATCAGGAATGTATCCAGAGTGCCTCTTTCCCACAGGAAAGGCAAGCACAGGCAGGCAGGGCAACAAAGAGCCCTGCAGGAATCTCGGGAAGAAAGCGGGAGTGAGACCACTCATTCTGCTTAATCACAAAGGRGGGAAGGACACATTTGGAGTCATTTTTGCTGCAGTGTCGCTCACTTCTAAGCTGAATGTAGAGCTTGCTGCTGCCCAGAGCTTACCCAGAGGTTTCTAAAGCAGAGCAGCTATTGCTGCGGCTGAGCCCACCGCGTAGCCCCAAGGAGGCAGCGAGGACGGGCCCGGCTCGCCCTGCAGCGCTCGCACGCAGCTCCACAACCCCGGCATTTTCTCATCATGCGGCCCAGTCTGGGGGTATTTACTTGGCAGGATTAGTTTTTAACTACGTTAGGTCTCACTTTCAGATGCTCTGCTGGTGAAGTCAGCAATTACTGCCACATGTAAATCACCATCTGCTTTTTCTAACTTGGAGCAGTGTAATTTTAGAGTAAATCCAAATAACTTTCTACTCTGCATGCTAAATAAATAAATGGTTCAATCTCTCCTTAGATACCAGTCCACAAAGGCTCTSGAACATTCTCATGCTTCATAAATAGAGGGGTTAAGGGTAATGTTTTATGGGAAAATACAGTCAAGGTGACATACTGCTGTCTGCAGAGAACCTGGGAAGCCCTATTAACCTAGGTTGACAGATGGGAATACTCAGGTACAGAAATGAGAAATGATTTTGTCAGCAAGTCAGTGGGAGAAATTACGTTTTCTTTCTCATGTCCTGGCCTCATGGAAAGCCAGGGCTAGAAAGGCTGGTTTCATTGCATCACACCTTGTATTCCTTATATGTCACTGCAGAAGCTGCATCGTCACTTTGAAACAGAAATGAACAGGAGCTCTTAAGAACAGTGTCCGCTACATTTTTTTTTTTTTTTTTTCAACTGATGACACTGAATCACCACTTGCCCCAGTACTGCCCATCAGCCACCCACCAAAACCAACAGATTCTGAAGCAGAGGCCACAGCTGGAATGGAGAGTCACTCCCGCTCCCTTATTCACTTTAGCAGGCAGATTTCAATCCATTCACCCCCTCTCTGCCCAAATTCTCAAGATTTCATACCTGTGCTTAAATAAGCTACTGCATTTATAACAAAAAAGCATTATAATAATCTTTGGGAGTATAGCTTAATATATTCTGTGCTTCTTGTTAATTGTTTTGTAAAGAAAACTAAGTAATATCCAGTATCAGGATATTCTTAAAGATAAGTATCTTTAAGTACATAGTATCCATGTACCTGGAAGGAAAAGTTGCTTCTGTAACAAGTTTACTGGTTACTGTAGGTAAACTATCTGTTTATCCAGACAAATGCTATTCAAGAACTGAAACCCCGCCCCCGAGTCAAGTCAGTCAAGTTCTACAAACCAGATTCCATGCACTTAAACTTGTGCAAAGTTCTGTTCACATATTACACATTTTTATGATCAGTTCCTTTGCAACATAAACACAGAGGCTGCCCTTGAAAGGAGATAACAGCCACACTTTTAGCTAGGGCTGGAGAGGATCACACTCGTCTCCTACAGGAAACAAGAAAAACGTTGGTCTTGGCCAGTGTACAAAGAGGGGCCAAGTTGCAAAGTCAGAGCACGTCGCCCTCAAAGCAGAAGGGAAGCRATCCACAGGTCCACGGGTGGACGTCCCTTCCACTCACTCCAAGCCACTGCCTACCTCAGTGGGGACAGGAAAGCAGAGCACAACCAGACACACGAGGGACAAGYATGGGCAGCTAGGAACCACCAGGAGGAAACCCCTCCATTCGTATTTTTGTAATTTTCTGTTGTATTTCTTGAGTGCCCAGAGTATTAAAATAAGTACAATCTGACAAGAAAAGCAAYTTCTAATTGACTTCATAATCTATCACATACTCATATTTTCATAAATAGAACTTTAAAAAAACCATATACTTACAGATTGAAATGTTCACAGAGGTAAACACAACACTTTAACGAGCACAAAAGGACAACACAGGTTCCTTTTAAAAATGGCTTCCCAGTTATTTTTCCTCCGTTTAGTTCATCATCTGTCCACCACAGGAAAAATCCTAATTGAACAATTTCCTAGAGAAATAATATTTATGTAGCCAAGATTCTGCAGCTGGAACAGGGAAATGCACAAGATTATCCCATGGTCTCTTACAAGGCAGGACAAAGAATTACTGTATCAACAGTGGACACAGTATATTTTTTATTATTTCATTTTCAAAGCCAGCCATAGGAACATAATAAAAGAGAGAAACCCACTACTCATAGTAAAACCTGTACTCTAAGATTCATCGATACAGTAACAAATCGTTTTTCCTATTCTGCCTGGGTATTAGCTGGAAAACTAACAAGAACAGCAGAGTTTAAGGTACTTGGCATAAGGATCACAGTGCTAAAGCATTCCACATTGCACGTTTACTGCACAAACTCATTTCCAGGTAAGAACAGAGCTCTGCTTTTATTCTGCTTGCTAACGAGGATAATTGGCAGGCAGTGCTGCTGCTGCTGCAGGAGATTTGCTCTTTATATGGATCTCTGAAGACCACATGTGCACGCGGTGGTGACAGCAATATTTTCCATAGGAGCCACCGCACGTTCTCCGGCCCCTCCGCCTGCACAAGGTGAGTCCGTCTGAGTTTCTACGCTCAGTAACAACCAACCTGGAGGTTAAAAACTCCAGCGACAACTAGAGGGCAATGATCAGCCTCAGTCACTGTAACCATCAACCCTTTTTTAAGTTCCCTGAGCCTCTGTCGATTTTTTCCCCTTCTTTCTTCTAATTAGATCAAAGTCAGCATAAGATTTCATTTTAATGAACATTTTCTGTGATCACGACTATTACAAACCCTCTTTTTAGAGCACTGAAAGCAAAATGCACTCTGTRTAAAGGCACATGAGTTATAGGGAGCGTTAACCACACAGCTTTGGACTGGAGATGAGTTTTTTTTCAGTTCACTTCCACTTTCTTTACCAGGGAAAGCAATTGCTCTGGGCTTTATTAGGCTTGTAGAAACTTATGACCGAGCTAACAAAAGACAAAGCTCTGGAGCAGAAGCACCATTTTGAGAAGATTTACTTCCCACTTAGCTCCTTTGCAAGGCAGTTCATCAACAAAAAACACAGATTATGGAACAGAACTATCCAAATACTCCTTTGAAATACATAAATGTGCATTACATTTCAGTTAAAGAGGGAGAGCAAGTATCAAATGTACCAGGAGTGCTTGCTGCCAGAGACTTCATAAACTGGAATATTTTGCATCAAATAGTACTTATGCTTGATGAATTATTTCCCAAATGACAAATGAGTAGCTGAAATTTTCTGCTTTGGTATGAAACAAGGACTTGATGAAAAACTGCTCTGATCAGAACAGAAATCTGGAAAACTGCTCTTCATAAATCAAGCAGCAACTTTTTAGAGCACTGAAAGGGCCATTTTATTCYGTCACTTAGATTTTTCATATTAAGAATGCATAAAGTCCCTCAATGATGTGATGTACGGTTTAAAACAGATGCTATTCTGTTTGCCCTGCTAAAATAACAATACAGATACTAAAAAATACATATATTTACAGAGAAAAAAAAGTACATTCTTAAAGTAATGGGATATGGAGTTTCTACCTACTCAAATCCCCCRCAAAAATTCCAAAGTTAAAACTTTTTTCCACCAAGCACACTTTTTTTTTTCTTCCTTGAAAACCTGAGTACGCCACTACGAGCTGCTGCTGCAACCAGCACCTCATAGCTGTGTGTGTCAGTGCAGAACCATCCACACGGCGCAGTTGCCTCACGCGGAGGCAGCGCAGCCGAGCGGCCCGTCCCGCCGCCGCGGTACCTGCAGAGCCCGCCGGAACCGGGAGCCCTTTGCACACGAGGCGGACAAAGGCAGCCCCAAGTGCTCCTGCACGAAACCCCTCGCATCCCCTCCTCGGAGCCGGGAGAAAATCTCCCTCTGACAAGAGGAGTTTTTGACAGACACGCTTTGCTTACCTCTCCCGCAGGTCTTGCTAACGCTGCTGTGTGCGAGTGGAGCAAGGTCAGTATCAGGTAGCTGACAAACATCGTTAGCCGAGGTCAGGGCTACCCTGGAGGAGAAGCCCCTCTGTCAGGCTCCACCAGGCTCTACCAGGCAGCAGCCGTGCTCGCGCCTCAGTGGGACAGCCCTGAGCTCTGGTAGGTAGCGCTCTGCTCCGCGGCCCCTCTCCAGCTCACTCGCTACTAGCAGCAGCTCTGCTGCTCTCAGCCTCTGCTCTGGAGACAACTGGTAAGTTGATCTGCTCATGTAATGACTGCTCCCTGCTGGGGGAGGGGGCTCGGCCGCCGGGGGCTGGGGGCTGCAGGCAGCAGAAAGCGAGAAGGGGAGGGACAGAAATGGTCACTGCCAAGTTATGCATCTGCTCCGATTCAGGGAAGGAGCTAAGAGGTAACCTTTAATGCACGAGGAGGTTTGGCAGTGCCGTATTGACTTAGGCAAGCATGATTGGAGAAACAGAGGCTAGCAGGGCTTGCAAGAGAGGCCTGGTGATGGTTAGACAGCATGTGCTGCTTAAAGGCACAGCACCTCCTCTTCATAAAGCAGCTTATAATAAACAGAACCTTTAAATTCCAAGCGGGAAACAGCCTCTGACTTTCCGGGCAGCCCTGCAGTAGCGCAACCCTGCAACGTGCACAGCCCGACCCTGCGGCCAGGTGGGATTCTCCTCGCGGCACGCGGGGCTGCGCCTGCCTTGCTGACACTGCCGCTTCCTGACGTGGCCCTGTCATCAGAAGCAGCATCTTCAGGAAATCTCCTTTCTTTTTTTAATATCAAATGTCAAATAAAATAATTCCTGATCTAGAACAGCCRTACACATCAGTGACAAACTGCTCTGACCAGCAATGAGGGCTGCAGGCCACAAAAAGCAAGCTGCTGACTTTGGAGGAGGAATAAGACCCATTTTCAAGTGGAGAGTAAAGCAATACTGGCAGCACAGCACAAGTCTGAATCACTCCATCAGCCCCGCAGACCACCGAGTCTTCTCACGCAGGAGAAACAAGATGTTTCTTCCAGGCAGAAAAAGAAATAAAAAATAAAATTCTCTGAGTTGCAGAAGCCAGAGGGCTTCCCTTTTGCTCTATACGTCCAGCTGGCATCTCTGCACAAGGTGCTTTTTACTGTGAAGCTAAGATACAAATATGAACAGAAAAAAAAATGAACCCCAAAAGATTTATGTGCATCACATTCAACCAGAGAACGACTGCTTCATAACATCTATGGGCCCCTCCTTCAGTCCTGTACTCCCTTTCCTCCCCTTCCTCATTTTACTTTTTAATTTCTTCTAACTTTACTACTGCCAACTTAGGTACTTTATCACAGGAATGTGAGACATTATGTTTTTCTTGAAGTCCCAACTCCTGAAGACAAAAAAWCACATTAGATCCTCATCTTTCATGTAAATACATATTTCTTCCCCTTTTGGTTGCAGGAGAAAGCTCAAAAATATGATCCAAGAATAACCTACTCTCCCATGTCAAGGCAGTAAACCACATTAACCCCAAATATAGATACTTGAAAATATCTCAAGATTTTAGGAGGTGTCAAATCAAAAAGAATTTTGGCAAAGAGCCCCACCATTACTGTGATTTTGCATGTTTTATATACACATCTGAATATATCAGACTCCTCCTCCTATTTTTAAACTAATTTCATTAACCAGCCTTTTCTTCTGCCACCAAAAAAAGTGAAAAATTCTGACATTTTTTCCTTCTTTAATATTAAAACAAGTGTGCCCGTGACAAGAGAGTACTTTTATGCATTAGGAAGCTTGCAGAATTTAATTAGGTACAGCTAGACTACCAAAGGAGGACAGAATAGCAGCATTCTTCTTGCTGATAAAAGTCCAAATTCTGCTGTCTTTAATTGAGTAAAACTGCCACTGACGTCAATCGGAATTTTGCTCAATTAAAGACAGCAGAATTTGGCCCAAAGCAATTTTATCTTCAGTTATCGCTTACTCCCAAGCCACGTAATAACTAAGAAGGAAAATGTGCATGGATCTTAGCTAGGGTTGAGAGGCTAAGACTGCCGTTTCCTTAGATCCTTTATATCACAAATGACTGAAGTCATGAATGAGTGAAAATGAATGAGTGAACAAAACATTAGAGCATATTCCTCTCTGAGAATCCTTCTCTTAAGCCTCCCCAAGATACATTTTTAGAAGCAAAATCCTGTTCACTCAATATCAGACTTGAACAGTCTACTGCAAAAACAGTAAAATACATGTTTTCCAAGTATTTTGAACCCTACAAATCAGGATTCTCGCCTGGAGCTTATCCCAGTTCTCATCTTCTAAGCCATGAAAATTTCTTCTCTCCTTCCTGCAATAGTTTCATTTTGCACACTAGCTTTCTTACCATTTCTTCACAGAGGCTTTATGCTGGGAACCAGAAAAGCAAAGGTTGGGTCACCAGCCCAAGGAAAGGATGAGCAACAAGGAGTCTGCTTAGCCAAGGACGCCCAAGCGGGGCAGGTTGGGATGCTCCCTTTTAGGGGTGATTCAGAGGAATCTCCTGTCACAGGAGGTCCTGGGGCTGCCTCAGAACCCACAGTCTTTGTTAGGACATCTCTGTCCCTGGGAGCGTGTGACAAAAGGAGGAGGGATTTTTTAAACATTAATTGCAGTATTTTGGCTAGCTCTTTGAGGCTTGTTGGGAAAAGGAGGGGCACCCGGTGCATGCACTGTTTGTGTCAGTGGCTCTTTTGGAAAGAGGGAGATGGAGTGTGGGAATGAGGAGACAGAGAGGCAAGGGGCAAAGGCGGGAAGGAGTGTGAGGGAGGGAGGCAGAGGACAGGGCAAAGCTGGGGTGGGGACAAGGCAGAGAAGGCGACAGAGAGAGGGACATGAGGGTAATGGAGGCAGGGAGCCTCGGGAGGAGCCGTGTCCCTCGGCGGTGGTTACAGCCTGTCCCCCGAGGTGCAGCCCTGCGGAGCAGAGTGCGGGACAAGCTGCCCCCGAGCTGAGTGCGGAACAAGCTGCCCACCGCGCCCAGCGCTCTCAGGAACAGCAGCTGGATGTCACTGCAGCCCTAACCCACCCCACCCATCCGCCCCTCTGACCCATGTGCTGCAAAGCAGAACCCAGTGCCAAAGCCTTCAGCTTCCAGGAGGGGCAGCTCTCTTACCCTGTTCCTGCAAGTTCAGCACCCAGGCCCACGGATTTTTCAGCAACTCTCCAAAGTTTCTCAGCAACATCAAGCCCCTTTGAAATTAATGGTAATGAATCTTCTGCGGGCTTTGAAAGAGCAGGGCCTGAAACACTCCCGGCGTTACCACACTYGGCTTCATACCTGGTCAGGCTTCTGAACATCACTGGCTTTTGGAAGGGCATTATTTGCAATCACAGCTCTAACTCTTGTGGAGTGGATTTCTAGGGCTCGCGGATGTCCACGTTAATTTAAAAAGGTGAACTGAGAAAGTCACAACACAAAAAGGCAAAATAAAATGACCTTCCTCTCTTGCAATTTGTTGTGTTTCAAAACTTCAAGATGCTGCAAAGCGTGATTATCTGTTCATCTGTACTTTGCAATACAATAATCTGCACTTCAATACTGAAAACAAACGTTTTTTGAAGTCCTTGTACCCTTAATTACAGACCCGAGCTTTGCTGGAAAGGTCAATTCAGACATAGTTACAGAGAGCATAATCTGCTTCTAATCTGGGTCTCACACAGATCTTGAAAGCAAGGAAATATCAAGTAATCACTGGTTTAAAACTTCTGCTATTTTATTCTGTAACGTGAGCGCATGAGAAGTTTATTTCACCTAACTCCCAAAGAAGGACAAATGTGTGGAACACTAAGCAACGTAGACACTACAGGCTCTTCTAATATTTTAAAAATTAGTTTCCTTATTTAAATGATAAGAAACTAGATAAGAAACTAGCATATCGGAGGAAAAGCCTAAGGTGGGGAAAAATGACTGTATAGTAAGAGAAGTATAAACTACACAAGATGTGGAGGAATARCCAGATGTTGTTTTCATTTTATTTAATTGTGCATCTTTTAAAGTTAGTGATCTACTGGCTACTTGCAGGTTTCAGCAAGAAAAGTCATATATACTTGATAGATTTATGTGGTTAGATGGCTGCCATATTTAAAACTGTCAGATAGGCATTTCCAATAATTCTCCCAGTTCATTGTTTGCAGTAGCCTCTGAGCTCATTATTCAGATATTCCAGGGGCACAATAAATGACTACTATCCTTCAGTCTGAAGCACTGAGAGACAATGAACATAAAAATTCACTCAAAATTTCCTGTATGAGGCCCAGGGTTTCTGATAAAAATACATTTCTCTTTATTGGAAGACCTGCAACAGAGAGYAAGCCTCCCGCCTCGCGGCRCGTCCCTCCGCGCAGGCGGGCACGTGGCCTGCAGGCAGGATGGGCACCGAGGAGGATGCAGGCAAAGGCACCTCTAGCTGCCAGGCTGCTCGGTATTCCCAACCAGGGCCATTCTGCTCCCTTCCCACTGCCCACTTCCCTGCACAGGCAGTGGGAAGGGAGCTGGGAATTCCCTACCACATCTGCCACTTCCAGATAAAATATCCCTGCTTGTAACTGAAGTCCTGAAAAAGCCTTCGTGCTTCTACTGAATCTGCCTCTGATCAGTGTCTCTAGCTGTCCTTGACCAAGAGCAAATGAAAAACAGATATGAGCACATACGGAAAAGAAATATTTGAACTTTTATATATGCCATTAAAAACAAACAAATGAAAAAGTTCGTTTTATAGGGAAGTCCAAATACGAGGTGTTTATTACAGCCTGAAAGTTTTGCATATGGAGCTTTACTAGAACGAAGCCCAGGTACTAGGCACCTTAGTAGAAAGGAGACCCCGAGCTTCAGATGGATTTCAGTGCATCCCGGTATCTTTTCTTAAAGTTTTATGTCAACCTAAGTACTTCAGATACTAGTTTTTTTCTAAGTTTCAGAATCTTAATATGTTTATTTCAGTTCAAAAATTATATTTATAGATAAAGCTGCTGCTGCTTGTCCACTTACATTGTTGGATGAAAAAAAAACATTTAAAGGGT